AAGTACAGGATGAAGCACGAACTACCGTGAACCAACACGAGCCACGCGGTCGCGAAGTTAAGACGAATTCTTCGTCACGCACAGCTTGTTTTCGTTGGTTCTACATGCGATGAATTAAATATGCAAGACGGAGAAAGGGGAGGGTGCCGTTGAATATGAATCAGGTCGTCTCTAACGCGACCGACCTACCGCGGGGTGGTCTTTCTCCCCGAAAGGCTCACGGGTTCTACTTTCCTTTTCTTTTTCCCCAAATATAATAGATTCCTAGAGTCATGTTTTACTCCGTACCGAATAATATTTGTATATCGGCTCGTAGCCGAGTGGAGTGGAAGAAAGAAAAATTTACCGTCGGAAATAACATGCTCCATTTCCTATATTTCCCTTTCCTATTTTCCCGCGATCGCGCGGGGAAGTTCGCAGACATCAAAGTGGGAAGCTCGTAAAATACCGAGCAAACTTACGGTCCTACATCTCGATTCGACGGCGGCCTGACTTCTATTACTCACTATCTTGCTCCAAGTATATTACATCGCAAGTTACAGAATCTCGAGATGTAGCATTCGCCATTCGTCGGGTATCGCGCTTGCAAACGCCCGTCTCTCCCGCACGCACGTTTTACGATTTCGTTTCTACATTGTTAATTAACCAATTAAGCGATTCAACCGAGCTTCGCTCGATATTAATTTCCGATATCCACTGTCGAATTCTTCCGTCCCGCGGCAGCGCGACGTTGAAATCCAATATTGTAAAATAAATTGAAGGGACGAGCGAGCGAGAGAAATATGTCATTTTCTCAGGGGAGAGTCAACGAATAATTATATAATAATATAGAGGAGATCAGAGAAAGTCAGTCCTTGATTTCTATACGTAGAGAGGAATGACCCATTATAATAATTAAATAAATTAAATAAGAAACTTGGGAAAATTAAATTTGTGATTTAAAAAATGCACATTACGCCACTATTAATTCACATGTGATGTTAATAAAATCAATTCCAGCGATAAAATGCCACGTATCGCATTAGCCATTCTCCGACTCGAGGATCTCCAATGTCTGCCAAATAGAACGTCTAGGAGATCACACACAAGAGCTTCCAGCGAGCAGGTGGGCGTCGAAAGAGCTTATGTTCCCGCAGTCGCGAAGGGCTGCCAACATATTCTACCTTCGCGAAGAACATCGGCGAGTGCCAAGACTCGTCTTCGGGGCGGGCACAAAGCAGCGAGGAGTGTCTTCGCGGCCAATTAGAGTTGCGCGTGTTGGCAGATTGTGGCGCGAGGTGGTACAATGCTTCCCGAAAGATCTCCTATTGTGTGGCAAGGAGCGACCACTCGACGAGTCGAGATTTTTCGAACAAATCGCAACGCTGATTTATAATGCATCACTGGCATCAAAATAATAAATGCGATATATATTTCATCTCATTTTAAATTCAGTTATCCGCAGCGCACTCCCCTCAGACAATCTCTCCGAGGCCATGAATAAACGCGAAACTTTGCGAAAAAGGGATACGAGAAAACGGGAGAAGGAGCGGAGAAGGAGGGGAAAGGGCGACTGGTTAGCTGGAACCGAATTACCCGGGATTTCCCCGTTCGATAACGTACGCCGAGACCTTCTTAACTCGGGGATAGGGTCTAGATCTAGATTTGAATCACGTAGAAACCCGCGTCGGTTTCCTCGCCCGCAAGTCATGAACGCGTACGTTTGTCGACCTCGAGGATCGGATCTGATCGCAGATGGCGGAAATCCCAGCGTGTGCTACGCGCGACGGTAAGCCGACGTTTCGGATTTCAGGGCTCCCAAATCCGGCGTTTGCGACGTCACGGCGTGCTCTCCGCTGCTACCGTTAGACACGGTCAAAGCCGCCATTTCGGCGAAACAAGATCTCCCGGAGAATTGGATATCAGGCAGTTTCAATCAGCCTCTAAATAATATCATCGTTTGAAAATCCTCCTCAAAAATCCTCCTAACGTTCCACTTCCGGGAATAAATGTTGATACCGCTTGCAACATCCGCCCCGTCCGACCTCGGGCGACGGCGGGAGAAAAAGAGAAACGGGAAACCATTACCCGAGAGCGTGACTCGAAAACCCTTGTGACCTAGTCTGGACAATGCGCCGCCCTTAATTCTCGCAACGAGCTTGCGCCCGCGAGCATACCTGCATACCTAAAGCGTCCCGCGCGCGACGTCTTCGGGTTCGATCGAGCGTGGTGCATTTAAGGGGTGCAAGATGTAGACGGGAAAATGGGGATGTGCGCGGGGGCGTGTAAGCCGGAGAACGTACGTGCAGCAGCTGTCTGTCTTCCGAGTGGCATTAATAGGTCTTTGTTTCGCCGCGTGGGAGGGGAAGAAAGAGAGAGAGAGAGAGAGAGAGAGAGAGAAGAAGAGAGGAGGAGGGGAAAGGAGGAAGGGAGGGACAGAGGAGATGCCCGACGCGTCGTCCGCGCGCGGCTCTATTATTCGAATGTGGAGCAGATATCGGTTGTCGATATTGCCATTCGCCCGTCTAAATATCCGATCGATCGATCCCTTTTCTCGCGTCTCTGTAACCACCCCGGCGCACCCTTCGCGCCCCGCCCCTGCCATTCTCTCTCCCTTTCGGCCTTTCTTCGCGCGTCTTCCGCCGCCGGCAATTCCGTATTCTCGCCTCGACTTCCTCCCTCTCGTTTATTCTCCATCTCTCTCTTTCTCTCTCTTACTCTCTCTCTCTCTCTCCTTCCCCCGCCCCCTCTCTCTTTCTCTCGCTGCACATCGCTGAACGGCCGTTATCGCGAACGGCAACCCTAACTCGTGATAATGAGTTCACGTCGGCGTACGGCACGTATCGCTCGATCCAACAATGCCGAACGATCGTTCCCGCTAGAGACGGCGCCGCGGCTTTTCTCCTCGCGTTGGATGTACGTTAATCGCGCCAATGGCCCGGTGAAAGAAGCGCCGACTCGAACTACTGGAAAAGTTAATCGTGCGCTGTATCGCAGTCGAAGCATCGGAGACTCCCCCCGAGCGCTAAAAGCATTATATAAAATTGCGGCGTATCGTCTTCCACTTTAACGATCCGGATAAGGAAACAATTAAAAGATCTTCATAGATCATTCTGAATATTTCTCTTTGGTAATGCAAGAATGCGGAGAATTCGTTGAATAATCCTAATCTCTCGACCACTGCGCCGCGTCCCACCGCGGGGATAAAATCGTTAGATTCTTTTTTTGGAGGCGTCGGACGCCTACGCGGAGAACGATAAAAGAAAAATTGAAAAAATACGAAAGAGGGGGGGAGGGGAGGGGGACGCTCGATGAAATGGCGGAAATGGCGAATGTCTCCCACTCGCATTGATTATCGAGCACACGTATTGGCAATGAACGGATAAGTCCTCTCCCCTCGTCGAAGCGGTAATTTAATTATTCCCCAGTCGCGTCTCCATTTTCACGGCGCGCTTTCGGATTCCGTTTTCCTCGCGGAACGTCCAACGCCCAACGACATGGGCGGGCGGGCGTCGTGTTATCACGATCGCCGTCGGTGATAATGAGCTCGCAGTGTCCGCCCATCAGTGGCGGCCCCATGGCGATGCCGGATAATACCGCGGATACGGTGCGAAGCGAGAATACGAGGAGAGAGGCTCTGGCGGAGAGTCTGGCGAGCGTTCCGGATATTCCGATCATGAGACGTATTGGCACACGATAAACCAGCCCGGCAGGCAGCTGCAGCCGAGTCGAAATTGACTTAACTGCCACGCGTATATCTCCCGCGTAGCGGGAGTTTATACGTGACGCGACAGTTTTATTCCACAAAAGAGTACGCCATCGTATCGTAACGTATCGTTCGACAAGGGGCCGTTATCAGGCGCATGTACCGCCCAGCCGCCGTAGTCTTTTAAAGCTTTTCTTTGAGTGACGGGGCGCCTTTGCACAGTTGAAAGATTAAGATAAGCGTTTCTTTATGTCATTCGATTTGAATTTTAGATATACGAGCTGTCAGAAACTCCCCATGTTGCCTCGCTCGAACGAATGCTCCGAGAGACCGAAGGTCATAACAGCTGAAATACGAAGATCTTAAGGATATTTTCAAAATTTGCTCGCTCTGAATCGACGGTCAAAAGTAAAATGTCATCGCGAAAGGAGACAATCCTCCGGTCCTTATTTAAATTGCCTTGAAATTCGAAAACAATGATTCGGAAATCGATGACGACCACGAGAATCGGTGCTTCGTAAATCTGTTGCGCCGAAACTGTTTTCACTCCATTCCATGCTCGCTGCGGACTTTGGGGGAAAAGTCGAGTACCTCGTCTCGGTCATCGAGAAAATCAGCGGATTATCGCACCGGTTGGTATTTATCCGGCGGATTATCCACGATTACTTGACTCGTGCGGTGGACGAACTCGCGTGCCCGAGTGTAAAGCTAACACTGTTGAAAATTAACTGATCCGGTTTACGGGCAGCTCATGCAGCTTTCGCGGATTGAAAAGTGTTAATCGAAACCGTTCCTCGGCCGATGTCGTTAATTCAATATAAATATACAATGTTTTAACAAATTTATGAATGCGCGCAATTATAATTATGGTATGTCTATGTCATGGTTTGACACACACACACACACACACATTTTATAAAGAAAAATCGAATATATTTCTAATGAAACAGAAAAGGTGTAAAGAATACAAAAAGAACAATATAATACAGAACAATTGAAATAAAAAAATACTTAAACTTAAGAAGAAGCTTAGGCGCTGCTAAACCACACACACACACACACACACACACACACACACACACACACACACACACACACACACACACACACACACACACACACACACACACACACACTGTATACGCTTGTAAATAATTTATAATTTTTGTATATTGTATAATTTTGTACTGTCTGACGCGGAGTTCGAGAAGAGGATCACGAACCATCAATTTGTCGATTAATCTATATTAGACACGATTGCCGAACTTGGGCCGTGGCTAGATTAAATTCGAGACGTTTAATTGGAGATACTGACCGTGCTCCACGTAATAACTGGTCTCGTTGTACCGCTCGTCCGTGAATCCCGGCCTCTTCGCTTTCAGCGCTTTCGTTTCCAATTTTGCCTGAAACAAAGAACGCAGTAGATAAGTGACCGGAGTGGTCAGCCGCGGTTACATACAACTTCGCGGTGTCCCGCAGTATATATGGAATAACTGCGCTCTGTACACGACGCAAAGAGATATAAAACAATAGGATTTCGTGAAACAATAACGCGGGAGCGTTGACGTTGAAAAAGGTAGTCGAAGGTAATGAAAATGGACAAATGTCATTTCGCGAAGTGTACGCGAAGTGACGTAAAAATATGTAAATGGCGGCGGGGACTATCCCCCAGAGCTATCTTCGGGGGTATCTTCGGGGGTATCTTCTTAACTCGAGAAAGTAAATTGTATTTCGCGACCGGGTTGCGACCGCCGCGCCGCGCCAGTTTTTACTTCGCTGAATAATATCCGTGGCAAAAATCGTGGTTACGCTGGATTTATGGCGGACCCGATTAAAAACGGAGATATACACACCGGCGTTATTTGTCACTCGCGACTGAAATAAAGGGCGCGGTAGATAAGTGGACGAGCTAGTCAGGCTCTCGTGGCTCCATACGCCGCGCTCGCGAAAGAGCTGACGTATGGCGACGATAAATTTATCATACAAAAAAATGCGGCGGTTCCAGACAATAAGGGGGCCCGGGAGGCGGGAGGGGGGCATCGCGACAACAACGGCCAGCAGAAAATGGAAACTCACCGGTCGTGGTCTCGCGCGCATTGTCGACGGCCCGCGGCGAGCGACGTCCGCTTATTGAATTATCACGCGGACGTTTATTTACGACGTTTATTTACGAAGAAAAATTACGCAGGATTGTCCCTCGAAGCAGATCAATCGCGTGGAAAGAGGAGGGAAGAGAAAGGCGGAATTCTACGTCCTCGAAATGCATAGAATTTAAGATTCTGAAGTGGAAGTACCCGGTGCATGCCGATATGAATCCCGATGGCGACGATAAATCTCTCAAACGACCGAAAGTTCCATCGTCCGCGTCGCATTTCCCGCAAAATTTTCTTAACGAACTCGCTCTACATGTGCGCGCTGAAATTTAACGTAGTTAAGTCCGCGCTCCCGTGAAAGAGCGAACAGAAACGACAGAGGAAACTTGCCGGGACTAATTGTTACGTAGGAACGCGACAGAGAAAAAAAAAAACTGAGTACTGTCGTAAGACCGAGTAGTCGTCGGAATTACTGACAACATTCGTAACGAAGTAAATGCAACTTTGCATAAACGCGACGCGATTAAGGCGAGGTCGCCAAACTGAAACTGCATGCGCTTAATTAAAAAGTAAAATCCTACAGTTCTTCCGCGTATGGCGAGTGCGATACGTGCGGGCGCATAATGCGCACCGCATTTTCGTCCGTTTTTGCATCCGATGGACTGGCTAGCAGCGCACCGCTTACTTACTTCGCTTTAGTTCGAGGCTCGACGAACCGTGATATTCCGCGATATATAATAGAACGCGCGATTAGCGAAACAAGCGTAAATCACAGCCGGCTCGCCGCGCCGGTCTATTTGGAAATTCTCCCATTAAAACACTTCGCATTCTGCTAGCAAGTGCACAGCAGAGAAAATTAATCTTAAAAGAGAGATATTCTCATGTAAAATTGTAATTTTGGTTCAATTGAATTTTTATAATGATGCCAGTATTTTCGCGTATAAGAATATTACAATCTTCACAGAGGAGATTTTTAATTTTTAGTTGAGCAAAATTAATATAAATTCAATCAAAGCAAAATTTTTAAGATCATAATATTCTTGCTTATACATGAAAATACGTTTCATAATTTAAAACTATTTTTTTCTGTAATACTACAAGAATATAATGTTTCTTAAGTCAAGATTAATTTCTTTTTGTAAAATGTTGTGCTACAAAAATATAGACTCATAATATTATAAGAATATTCTGGAATATTATGAGAATATGTTACAACATACGTCGAGTTAATTTGCGAATATATTAGGTACATGTATATTTTGCTCTCGAATCCAAAGTGATCGCATGTACGCGAGTCGTCTTCTACTCCAAGCTACCCCTTAAATGTCTCATGTAGGCAAAGAAGCGGATGCCCAAGGGAGCGATAACGCTTGCTCCCTCCCCAAGAAGGGATTTCTCTCTCAGGGAGGAATCATTTTAATTGGATCGTTAATTAAAATTTATAACGACATCCGGCGCGCCGAATGGCCACGTTCCGCTCGTTCGAAACAAACGACGCATTACATTAATGGATCCTAATATTCGTGTACGCGACACGTTTTAATTAACGCAGACAATAATTAGTTGAAATCGCGGGAGCATCGGCCGACGTAAATCGGATTATACGGGGCGCTGCGCGAATTTTCGATGGCCGATAACGGAACGATACGACCAGCGCAAGCGGTGTCGATAGACGAGAAAGACTTCTCTCTACTGGGCGCTTTACTGGGTTCATCAATAATTATCGGACGCAACCGCGAACGTTCCCGGTAGAAATGTAATTAGAGTGCGAGTAGGAGGACTCGGGCGAAATGGAGAATCTCTCGGGCGAATGGTAGAACGACCGAAACGGTGCCGACAGTACATCATAACATCGTAAATCAGATCGAACCATATCGCACGCGATCGGGGAAATACGATAAATTTATGACACTTTTATTATTTCTCCCGCGGAATCAGATAAGACATTAATGCACCGGCGCACCTGTCGCCTTTAACCGATTTAACCTCGTTATTACCTTTTCGACGAGAGCGTTATGCTGAATAATGCATAGAGTGCACAATCGCGTTTTTGCACCGGTGCATCGAGTCACCGTTGCATTACAGCTAATTGTAATAATGACTAGCTATTTTCGCCCGCTCGTTTTCGCCAGAACGAGATAACAGATATTAAATAGGACATTTTGTGAAAATTAATATGTATATTTATACGCCGGCATATGCGCGTAATCGCAGGGCAAACAATCTGTTTCAAGAGTATTACTATTAATTGCAGCGTTTTATAATTGACTTAATTTAATAACTCGGAATAATCAGTTATGCAACAACTGATTACGCGGGAGAGACACATTCGGAAGCGACAAAGCGTGATCAATCTGCGCAACAAAAAGCGTAAACGATAAAACGGTGCGAGTTAAACGTTAAAGCGATCGAGGAGCGGCGATTTACGAGGAAAGACGGTCGTTACTTTTTAGGACGATCAATCATTCGCAATATCAAATGTAAAATCTTATCACAAATTTATGATTGGGCCCCCGTGGATTACGCGAATAAATTTTCCTCGCGAGAGAAACCGTAATAAATTCACTTACGGCGTTTCATTATTCCAACAGACAACCAGTCAGATTCCACACGTCGGGCGTTAGTCGTACGTCCATTCAATTTGCTTTAAAAATAAAAATAGAAAATACGAAATAATTTCCCATTTCTCGTGAAAAACAAAAAAAAAAAAACAACCCGGCTTCGACTCGGTCGAGTAGCTCGTTAACCGTAACGAGGCTGCTTGAAATTTTTGCTTAAATAATTAACGCTCCCATTACGTATTGTTTGTGATCTCGGGGAAAATATTAGTCACCGCTGCAGGAGCGAACGAGGCTGACCGCGACGACGGCGACGAGAAGAGGAAACACGAGACCCTCCAGACTTACAAAGAACATGGAGTTGCAGGGCGCGCGGTGTAGGAGGGAGGCGCGCGCGAAAACGAGAGCGAAGTGGCAAAGCGAAGAGAG